AACCAAACGAGCACTAACAAACCAGATCAACGAACAAATAAAAGAAATTACAAATGAAAACTGAGGTGTGGTGCAGTGACGAACACAAAGTAAACGACCACGAAATCTAATTCTTTACGGAACCAATCACATAAAAATAACACATGAAACAGAGGGAGAAGAAAAGATAAACCTCTATTAATCTGAAATTTAAATGACTTACAATATGAAAATGCTAATCGGCGGAACGAACAGGATCGCGAACAAAATCTAAGCCGAAAAATCTCGCCGGAAATCTCATGAGCTCTGACCGGACTGCCTCGCTACCCCCGTTACTCATATCGGAGCGTCCGTTCCTCTATCAATCTCTCACTCTGTTCTTTTTTTTTCTTTTTTTTTTCCGGCGACAATCAAAGAACGAGAAGGGAAAGCAGAAATTTTTCCTTACCGTCGTGGCTCTCGTTTTGGACTGAAGATAATAGTCCGTGGTCGTTGGTTGTTTGGTGAAGGGCTGGGGTTGTCTGGATCTGAAAGGAAGGAGTTGGGATCGCTGCTCTTGTTGGTGTGACGCTACTGCTAGAAGAAAAGGGTATTGGGCGTTCTCTAGGGTTCAAGGCTTAGGTTGTGTGTTGTGTGTGTTAGGAGGTCTATGTCGGCCCTGAAAGTGAGAATCAGAAGCGGCGATGTGGGGAAGATGGATGATATCTAGGTTAATTGGGGAGATGGGGTGATCGTTTATGGGTTCTGCGGCTGGTTCAGGTCTTGGTTCATCCAAGTGAAGAAGAAGATCAATCCGATGGGGGGTCTGTATTTGGTGTCCAACAGCGGATTCCACTCCTAGGGTCTAGGTTATTTTTTAGACTAGTTTTGGTTATATAGAAAGGTTTTTAGGTTAAGGGGGTATGGTTTGGTATTATTGGGCCTTAAAATTAGGCCAAAGACTAAAAAAAATGGACTACAAGATTAAAATGGGATCAACCAACCCAAAACTAACTCTTCCTTCTAAATATATAATTTATAATATAAAAATATAGAACTAATCTTAATTAATTAAAATATGAAACTATTTTTGTGTTTTCAAGATTATATAAAAATAAAAATAAGGTACTATTTTTGTATATATTTTTTTACTTAAATTTATGAAAGATACATAAACTAATTTTTTTTTTGTAATTTTCATTTTTTGTGACGAAATAAAGTAAAAGAGTCAAAATTAATCGAAATAACGTTTTTAGGCCTAAACTAGATATTTACATGTTAAAATATAAAAAAATCTTGGGGGGGGGGGGGGGGGGGGGTCAAAAAATCACATGTCTACAGCTGCCCCTCTTTGATAGGAAATACAAAGTATTTTCAAACAAAGAACGACTAGACAGGTTTTTTTACCCGACCCTTATTTAGGGAGACCAAAAACTAAAAGAAAGGAGAATGTGACCGAGCCCTGGTATCTGAGCTGCCTACATCTCCTTGGCTATAAAGGAATCAGGCCACGTGTAGTTTAGAAGTGAGTGAGATGACGGAGTATACCGAGGTGGAGAGCCGGTCGAGGTGCCGTTCCGTCGAGGTTCCGGTCCGCGGTCCTATTATTACATCAAAATCAAAAAGACGAAAAAGACTAACTAAGTCTGTCAACTATGAGTTACAAGATTCCTATCTATAAGTCTTCTGAAGCTTGATCTTGAGTCTTGAATGGTTCTTCATGCAGACTTTGGATTTGAACCTTGACGCTTGCTAGTTACAGGTGCTAGTTCATTCTTCTTCAGCTTTCCGAATCAAAATCGGACATACAATGCTTGTGACTTCAGTCATGTCTTTAGCAGCTCGCATATTTATCAACTTCTGCATTTGGATTCACTTCTTGCCTTTCTTTTTTTTTTATTCTTGATTGTGACTAATTTCCGTTGATCATCTCGGACTGTTGACTCGCATTCTTGCCGCGAGCTTCTTTTGTTGCTGACTTGAATTGCATTCTGAAGTGAATTCCCTTATTCTCTAGGTAGGCGCCTGATTGCCAATACTCGAACTGTCTCCATTCGAAACTTGGACTGCCTTCCCTTGTTCTCCATGTAGGCTTCTAATTGCTGACCTTGAACTGGTTTTCCTTAAACATTGAACTGCCTTCCTTGTTCTCCAGGTGGGGGCCTGATTGCCAAAACTTGAACTGCTTTTCCTCGAAACTTGACCTGTTTTCCCTTGAAACCTGTGCTATCTTCCTTTGAAATTTGAACTGATTTCCTTGTTCTCCAGGTGGGCGCCTGATTGCCAAAACTTGAACTGTATTCCCTTGCTCTCTAGGTGGGTGACTGATTGCCAAAACTTCAACTGTATTCCCTTGCTCTCCAGGTGGGCGCCTGATTGCCAAAACTTCAACTGTATTCCCTTGCTTTCCAGGTGGACGCCTGATTTCCAAAACTTTAACTGTGTTCCCTTGCTCTCCAGGTGGGCGCCTGATTGCTGAGCTGACCCGCTTTCCTTTGAACTTGTGCCATCTTCCTTCGGAACTTGAACTGTCTTCCCTTGTTCCAGGTGGGCACCTGGTTACCAACATTTGAATTGTATTCCTTCCCTCTGAAACTTGAATTTTTTTCCCTTTGTTTTCCAGGTGGGCGCCTGATTGCTGAACTTGAACCGTCTTCCTTTGAACATTGCTGCTTTCCCTTTGTTCTCCAGGTGGGCGCCTGATTAGAAACATTTGAATTGTATTCCTTCCCTCTAAAACTTGAATTGGTTTCCCTTTGTTTTCCAGGTGGGCGCCTGATTGCTGAACTTGAACCGTCTTCTTTTGAACATTGCTTCTTTCCCTTTATTCTCCAGTGGGCGCCTGATTACCAACATTTGAATTGTCTTCCTTTCCTCTGAAACTTGAATTGTTTTTCCTTTGTTTTCCAGGTGGGCTCCAGATTGTAGACACTCGGACCATCTTCTCTTGCTACTTGGAACTGTTTTCCCTAGAAACTTGCACCATTTTTCCTTGCTCTCCAGATGGACGCCTGATTACAACAAAACAGACAAAACAAAAGAAATTTTCTGCCCCAGTTTGGTATCTGGGCACATCTGTGAGTGTTAATCGAATCGTGTTACCAAAAGAGATCTGAGAATTTAAAAGCTAAATCCTATTAAAAGTTTCAAATTAAATCTTGTCTTAAGAGTGAAAACTCATAGCTAAATCCAACTTCCTAAAGGTGAAACTTATGCTAAATCTCATTATCTAATGAAAGTCTTAAAACTAAGTCCCATTATCCAGGAGGGTCCTGAAAATCTTAAACTAAATCCCATTATCCAGGAGGGTCCTGAAAAGCCGAGAATGAACTTACCTGATCCATGCTTTCTTCCTGGAGGATCTCTGCAGAACGAACAAAATTCCTTGCCCCCTGAACCATGCTTTTCCTCGTGGAGGGTTCCTATAGATCGAACAAATTTTTCTTTTCCCTTCTCAAACCACCTTTGTGCTGACAAAATTTGGGCACGACACTTGAAAAAAATTCAAACTTCCAAGCTTTAATTTGGACACAATTTTCGTCCCTGTTTCAAACAAAGAAAACTTGTGAGTTTATAAATATGGTGGTTGGTGTCACACCTCCTTTTTTCCTACACCCGCAAGAGGGTATACAAGGGAGTTTTTTCCAACTTAAAGTGACAACCGAAACGGAATTTATTTATTTATTCAGAGTCACCACTTGGGATAATTTATGGTGTCCCAAGTCACCGGTTTAGAATCCCGAATCGAGGAAAGGATTGACTCTGTATTACAGTCCGCGAACACAGAAATCCGGGTAAGGAATTCTGTTAACCCGGGAGAAGGTGTTAGGCATTCCCGGGTTCCGTGGTTTTAGCACGGTCGCTCAACTGTTATAATTGGCCTATTATCTGATTTTAGTACATGTTTTAACCTATGGTTCAATTTTAACTTTATAACCGCTTTTATTTATTTTAAAGAAAGATTGCAATGCCATTTAAAATACGTCTTGAACCACGTCACATAAATGCACCCGCAGTCCGCAACACATTTTATCTAATGTTGTTGAGATTTGAATTTGGATCACATAAATGCGCACCCGAGTTTAGGAAGGTAAATTATTAAATAGCGCGCCTAAATAAGCTACGCATTTTTAAATTTGTGAGGGCCATGGAAATTCGCTAGTGGCGCACCTCGAAGTCTAAAGGGTTAAAAATAATTACTCGGAGGCCATGGGTTATCTAATTTTATTTATGGCTCACCTCAAGTCCAATTTAAAGGTAGTACTTAATTAGAAAGGTTCGAGATGCGGGTCCATTCTAAACTAATATTCCGATTATCCTTACTAGCTACAAGCCCGTGTTCCTTGCATTAAACATCCAAACGTACGAGAGGCGAACCATTAAAGGCTCGCTGGGCCTCCGGGCCCCAAGAAGCGACATTCAACAAATAAACAGAGACTTAGCCCACAACTTGGCTAGGCTGCCCCGCCTGGGCCAATGACAGGCCCAATAGAGGTTCTTCTTGACGCCATTTATTTTAAACATATACACACAGTCTGGACAGAAAATAATTTACCAAAATTAACTAACTACACATGCATCTAAACACTCAATCGTTATTAAACTACTACATGAATTCTCACTCAGCAAATTAACATGAATAATGAAGATGGGCCCAACTCCAAGAATATGCTATTGTTTTCTAAAATGACTTACTAATTACCCCACATTCCTATACAATTGCCCTCATCAAATCCAGAATAGGCCATAGTAACAATCAGATATGCGGTCTTCCTTTGAACTACAACTTTAGAAATGATGTGAGTTACTCAAACTAGCATAGGACTATACCAAAACGTGCTTCCTGATAAACTCAAACCATCAAAGCGTTTAACAATCAAAAATCTCATCCCAAATAGCAATCCAATATAAAAAGCTAAGAGACTAGACTATAGCCCACTAACAGAGTAATGAGCTGAGAAAGGACACACATAACAGAGTTACTTGTTAACACAATATAAAAAGCTAACAGACTAGACTATAGCCCACTAACAGAGTATTAATTAACAGAACATCAACGTGGATAGGAGCTTTAAATTAAATCCCTGAGCAAGTGGAACTCACATATAGTGTAATACTCCCAGAATACCTTATACAGTCTATACTTGGACACTAGCCTTAATAGCCATGTAAACAAGCTGAATTTCACAAAACAAACTTTGCAGAATTTGATCATACACAAAGGATAAATGCTACATACATTTAAAACTAAGTTCTAACTTGCTGAATGGGATAAAAATAGGACAAAACAGAACTACTATTAAAATCCGAAATTCAGCCCAAGTATTCATATGACATTTGATAATGAGGCAACAGATTGATCCAAATCTTCAATTGTATGATTCAATGGCCAAGGGCCTGTTCAGTATACATACCTGGAAAGCAAAGAAAGTAAGAACTATGAAAGGTCAGCAGCAGCAAAGCAGTATCAGCAGCAATGTAACAGTGCTTAACCAGCTGAAACCAACCCAGACTTCAAACCAACTCCAAACAACTTGAATCAGACTTCTAAACTTAGGTTCAATCCATTTTACCACCCAGATGCACAACTATGGAAGTTTTCAGTAATTTTAACTAAGCAATCAGGATCAGGAAACCAAAACTAGCAACAATTTAGTAGTTTTCAACCAGAAAAGTGCCAGGAATTCAGAGTCCCGCCGTTTTAGTTTTTTAGGGGTCTTTTTATCTCTAAAAATCTTCTCTTCTCTGCCTTGTTAATGAAGAAAAGGTGCCTTTATAGGCAAGCCTTTAGGGCAGTAAGAATGCATTTAGTTTTGCACTTCTGCACTTTTTCAATTTTCATTTCTGCTTAGAGACCCTTAGTTTAAAAATCAAATTAACACATTAGTCCCTACCCCAGCTTCCTAGAAGCTTCCCTAATCTGTTATGCAGGATTCCCTAAGCTACACTACCCAAAATACCCCTTAAACCCCTGAAAATTACCCTGAAATTCATGGGTCAAGCTGACCCAATAATTAAACTAGTCCAAATATGGGTCAAAATGACCCGACTCAATTTGGTATGAGTCTGTAACCCAAGTTGAATTCCCTCTTGGGCTTTCTGACTCAAATTGAAGTCATAAGCCCTGAATTTAAATGAGTCCAACATAGGGTTTTCAACAGGGGAACCCGGAATTTCTCTTTACTTATTGGAAAACCAGGGCAAGACGAAATAAAAACCAAAGAAAAAAAACACCAAACACTTTAATTAAATTACAGCATGCAAGCAGAAAAACAATAATGAAAACAATTGAGACCGAAGAGGAGATGAGGCGAGAAAGTGAAGATTGGAACCTTAGACTAAACAACAAGAAAAGGAAATATGAAAGAAGTAAATGAAAATACCTAGGGGAAACGGGGACAAATCTTGGAATCAAACTCAGGCCTTTAATTCTGGCCGAAATGAGCCTTAATCGTGTGTTTTCAAACGAAACACACGAATAAGGTTAACTTCGACCCAAATCTTCAATCAAACTCACAGATTCGAATGTTGGGAATTCTAGGGTTCATGCTCTGATTTAAATTTCAAGGAGTTCAAGGAAGATTCGAGGGAAAAGAGTTGTGGATTTAGTATGAGGGGGTCGTGGGGGTTTCAGGGTGTTAGTTTGGGAGTGATTGGAGGTGGTGGCGCCGGTGGATGGTGGTGGAGCATTTGGAGGCGGCGGTTAGGGTTCTTGAGGTGAGTCTCTGAAGAGAGACGATGAAAGGCGAGGGTCGATT